CATCCTTTCGGGAATCGTCAGCCGTGGCATTCCATCGAAACCTGGTAAGATTCGAACCCGTAACTAGATTGTTGCCAGTCCGTAGTTGAGACCACTGAGCTGCGGGGTACGGTAACGATCATCGTGAATTAGTTACTAGATGTGATATGGCGCGGCTCACTATCCACTGACTTACACGTTACTGCCGTGCAGATGACAAGGTAGCCACTTCATCAAGCGACGAGCATACCAAAGTTAAGCCGCCAATTACAAAGTACTCTTCATCTGAACTCGCCACACTATGGAGAACCCAGAATAAAACGAGTATCATTCGCATCCTTCACCAAAATAGAAAACGTTTTGCTTTCCGCAAGCGCTCTAAAACCTGGATCCTGTGAGATACGCAGCTATCCTGCTCTCCCTTGGAGCGTGCGCCAATCAAACGGAAACTCTGAAGAGGGACGCAGCAAGCAAGAGCACCTAAACCAAATCTTCATACGTGGCATACCAGACCATCTTTCTTACGATGTTCTAGAGACCGGAAAATGCGATTCAGAATAGTGGCGGTTCATTCGTGAAACGCTTTCTTTGGATAATATTGTGGCGATATCGCTCACCAAGATACCGCTCCCACCAAATTATAGAGGATACGGCCCTAGAAACCTAAAACTTGTAATTTAGCCAGAGCAACAATCAAAGGGTGTATTGAATCGATGCCGGAGAAATCGGAAAAGCCTCCCTTCTGAACCTCGGTTAAAGGTCGCAGAAGATTCGCACAGTTCAATTATTAATACACCTGAAGCGGCCAGCGTACCGACAATAATACAGAAACTTAACTTGGCTGCTGATTTAATTGACTCTAACATAGGTCTAAAAGTAGATTGTGATGCAACTTGGCAGAATCAAGTTTCAGACGAGGTATCATTATCCCATCAAAAAAGCGAGTAACTGCCGACCTCACCTCGGTCGACATTCTCCTCCACTTTACTCCTTTAGCCCTCTGGGGGCTTATAGAAACCGAGAAACTGGCCTGCTTTTATAGGGATGCTCATGGTCTTTTTATTAAACTGGCTAAACTGAATGATCGCCAAGCTTTCGGGTCATATAATGGCATTGGTATCACCGAGACTTGGTTGCACACGGGATTGACGGACGCTGAAGTTTCGCTAACGGGCATGTCGCTGATCCGGAATAATAGGCTCGCTGAAGAAGGAGAGGTAATCTTGTATTATCGAAGCGAATTACAGTACGTAGCTGTGGAGGATTCGGACTCGCAGTTCCCCGACTCTCTTTTTTGCAGCTTGCAGTTAAAAGGCAGAGAAGCTTACCTTATTATCTTGATGTACAGCCCCCTAACTCTACCCCCGAACCTGACTGCCACCTAGCGGCTGTCATAAGATGCAGTTTACAGAGAAAGTGCCCTTATATCCTTATCATGGGTAATTTAAGGGTATATTAAGTAGAAACTCCTGCCACGATTGGAGAACAGTTCAAAGCCGATCTACAACGTCGCGTAACCAGTGTTCCTATTTACAATCACATCACCTTGCATACTCCGTTCAGAAAAGGCAACAGCTCGTCTGTGCAGGATCGTGTGCTTACCAACGAGCAGCATATCAAAGACGTGTTGGTTTTAGACGTCCCGTTGGGTTGCAGTGATCACGCAGTCATCAGCTTCAACGTCATCTGCTATGCCGAATACCGGAATAAGAACCCTGAGGCTGTGCGAACCATCACAAGTTACCATCGATTAGCCCAGCTCGTCAGGGCTACAAGTAGGTAATTCCTTACCGTAGAACCCTCGGAAGTCGCCTGACTCGTGTTCGTCAACAACTTCAGTCAGCTGATTGCAGCGGTTTCAGAAATAAGATGCAGTAAGCGCGACAGCAGTAAGTGCAAACTAGTTTCTTTCGTTGGGAGCAGAACTCGAATATGGATGACAGTACGCAAAGCAGCTTGGCGAATGTGCAGAGAAACTCCAGCACCAGAAACTTGGGACAAATACTTAGCCCAAGGTAACAACTGCACTCAACTGCTAAGCGAAGACAAAGCTGCTTATCAGCAGAAGATTGCAAATGCCTTCAGTGCTAACCACAAACTGCTGTACAAGCAGGGCAATAGTCTACGAAAGGTGAGGCAAGGATTTCCTTCACTCAGACTGCCGGCGGCCCAACAAGAACGGTTGTGAAGCCACAAACTCTCTACGGATGCAATATGCCCCCAGGTTTCAGAGGGTCTTGCTACCAAGCGACCTTCCAACCTTTGTCGAGTCCTCTGCGGGACTAACCCACAGCACTTTTATCACGAAAGATGTTTTGCCAAAGCTGACGTCCCTACGCAAATACAGCTAGCCAGGTGTCGACACTATTCGTCCAGAGGCACTGTAAGCAGCAGCAAGCCAACTGGCAGAACCATTAGCTCAGTTTTTCCAGCGTTGCTTAAAACAGAACGAAGTTCCCGTCATGTGGAAGCTTGAAATAATAACCCCGATTCACATAGGTGTAAGCAGAACTGTTCCCCCCGACTACCGCCCAGTATCGCTTCTTCATATACTCTCCAAGTTCATGGAATCCATAGTTTCCGATGCACTGGTATGCTATCTGAAAAACTGTAACATCATCACGCCTGAACAGCACGGTTTCCGTCGACAGGGGTCATGCACAACAAATTTGCTAATTGCACGCAGTAGTTGGATCGAGTCAGCTGACTCGTAAGAAGGTGTTGATGTGATCTACCTCGATTTTTCGATCGCTTTCTATCGTCTGGACCATCGGATACTACTCTCCACGCTCCAGCATCGCGGGATCGACGACCCTCTTTTAAACTGGTTTGCCAACTTGCTACTTCAACAGCGATTAGTGGTCAGAGTTCGGAGATATTTAGCGGACCCGTACAAGTGAAGTGTGGCATACCACAAGGCTCAGTTCTAGGTCAACATTTGTTTTTGGCGTTTATTACTGACCTTGCACGAGGAAGAGCTTTTAACTTCTAATGTTTTCCGACGATATCAAAATTTTGCGTAGGATCCAGGTGGACGCCGATTAGCATCTGTTTTAGCGTGACCTAAAACTGCGTATCAATGGTCAACCCAAAAGTAACTGCATTTCCGCGCCAGTAAATGCAAGATACCTTCCATCCGACATCAGCGCAGCTACCCATACCGGCTCGGAACGAGTATACTGCAATAATCAGCTGTCGAACTTGACTTAGGTATCCTGGTTCAAGATGAATTGGGTTGCTCCAGGCAATCCGTAAAGGTCCCGAATAGTATAAACCAACACATCGGGATGTTGCGACGGGCATTTGGACAAATAACCAGCTCCATATTTCGACAAATGTTCAGTGCTTGTGTTCACCTCTATGTTGGATACGCAATTCAAGCCTAGCATCCATGGCTGAAGCATGAGCTTAATACAATGGAGTAGCCACAACGTCGGGCATCTAAGAAGGTAGTTGGAATGCGCAATATTTCATACCAGGAGAGGCTGCAACGATTAGGGGTATATATTGGAAGCTATCCCCTACTACGAGACGACCTGATTATGTCCTTTTTGATTCTGCTAGATCCACATCACGGGTGTCGCCCTTTACTGCGACTCAGCACCAATACAACCCTGAGGGGACACTCTTTGAAACTCGCTGTAAAGTATAGCCGGCCGGTGTGCTACAGAACTTTCTTTTCCATTCGTGTCTGTCACCCATGGAATGCTCTCCCATAATCGGTCATCCCCACACCGACACTAACAGTAGTTAACAGATGGTTGGATGACGCACTCATGCACGTACACTTTGTCACAGCGTTACGTCTCCATCCCACAATACAATGAATACAATGCAATGATTTGATGTTAACTGTTAGCGCTGTGAATCTAAGCGGACTGCAGAACTACTGCGGAGCAGACGATAATTCTTTATTTTCTTATTTAAAACACTGCCTGTTTTACTGTGATTATTATCATTATTGTTATTTCAAAATCCCCACCATCTATCCAAAGGAACTTTTAAAAGAACGATTCTTAACCCATATAAATTCCTTGCTCGTCGTATCTAATTCTTTGTTTAGACTTGCTAGACACTTTGCCACTCATGGTACTGTTTTCTTCACCTGGCCAACAGGTGGAAGATTATTATTGTGGTGGTTTCCTGGTATTAACTTGACCCCGGTCTTAATCTAAGCCGACCAGTCTTCGAGGTAATTATTGGCCTGAGACCATGTGACATGCAGAGTAAAATCTGTTTTGTACTGATAACACTGTCTTAACCCCCATAGTAGAAAATGCGCCTATGATTCTTGTAGTTTACTACAGAATTCCCTCTCTGGTGTTACTTGTCAGCGTTCGACAAGTAGCCTCAAATATGTACTAAGGTCTTCCAATCTCACTCAGTGTACGCATTATTAAAGTGGTGCAACCTGATGCTCACCTTGATAAACGCCACTGTCTCGATAATCGCACATATTATACATCTGTGAAAAATAGATAAATCCATTTGGCTTCAAGATCGTATTATGATTATTTTATTTAAGACAAATATCATATTGTCGTAATGACTAAGACATTCGTGTCAGCGTTTATTCCGGTCTCATATTTCGCAGAAAATATCAACATCATATTCGCGAAATGATTCCAGGGAGACTAGTTCCATAGCAAACAAGACTAGCCATTTTAATTACTATTCCGTCTAAGGTATTAATGAACAGCCATGCTTTGCAGTACACTATAGGTTAGTAAAACATACTTGAGAAGTTAAAAGTCAAAAATATTTGTGTAAAACGTGACTGCTTCGTGCTATGGGTTACATATGTATTTTGCATTTTTGGACGCGGTTTGATGATAAAACTACCCGTCACAAGGCGGCGCACTTTCTTGCAATGTAGCTACTAGCAAATTCTCTTCCTTAACCTATCAGCCATAATCTGGGATTGGCCGAAAATTCAGTCCGACCCATGAAACCAATTGGTTTGTCCGGTTGCTATTGAGTATAGGGGGCTTTTCACTTGCTGATTGGCTGTAAGTGTATTAGCAGGCGTAAGCAGTTCCAATAAATCAGATTCACTTGAGTTTATCCAGTTTGGACTTTAGTTACTGCAACTGCCGTACGGGATCACAAGTGGTAAGTTCAATAGACCACCAAGTATTCGGCCAGAATAATTGCGTCCAAATTCAATGTTCTAATTTAGTCACTAATATAAATTGCCTGGCTCTTTTATCGGCTTTGCTCTGTTGCTCTAATTAAGGTACCCATTGTCTAGAAAAACATATTGAATATGCTTGTTCCTTTTCACTCCGATAAATGCAGTTTGACTGATGCCTAGTGATTAACGCCTCGTTAACGACAACAGGTATTTGACACATTGCCATAAATATGCTTAGTATAGCACGAATTTGTCTGTATTTAAAATACTGACTCTATTTGAATACCACAAATAATGTCCTTCTTAACCAAATGAGTAAACTGAGCTCTATTCAACCGGTGATGTTCAGCTTTCATGACCATTCACGCGCCCCCCCTAGTTAGGTACCCAATTAGCTATTAATGAAGGAAAAATATGAGTGATCTGCAATAAATATTGCATCTTTAACAATACACGTTAAGATTTGCAACATGCCCAAGGCTTCAAAATCTCACACCAAAAAATAAATGACAAAAGATCCCGGCTAGAGAAATTAATTGAACAGTATAGCTAAGAGCTAGGCATGTACACCGCTGTGGTTGACCCCGGTGTATAGCTTGTCAAGCAAATGCTTTTCATCCCTCATCAGGTTTAGTATGGCGTGTAGGATCTGATGCTCTGATAACTGTCTTAGAGACGTAGTTTTCGCATATTTAATGTACAATCTAACATCAGTAACTTTGGCTTGACAGAGAAATAGAAACCACTGTTTGATAGACAAGAGGGACCATTGAACTGCTGTATTTCTTCAATTCCCTCTCGAAACTCGTCGGTAAAACAGTACTGCTCGTCAAAATTGATGGCAGCAGCAATCTTCGACACAAAAATATGCCACCTGTGGCACATGTGAAACACTACTTTCTACCGCATCTGGCACAGAAGGGTTAGAACATACCTCATCAACAATCGTGGTGAAAAAACCCAGGAGCTCATCTTCATGACAACAGAACTAAGGTATACTTCGACGTAGAATTTCACATTCTTGTGCTTCATTCGTTGTACCTTTGGGATGAACACACCTGCCTGCAGTACTGGACTTTTCTGATAAATGCGCGAATCGATGTAGCATCACGAAAAGCTGCTTTACGCATACACGTGGTGAGAACGGTACGAGTTACTTGCCTAATGGAATTACCGAATAAACACAATAATGACGACTAGACATGGTTTACGTCATCTGATGGGTGATGGAGAGAAGTGAATTAAACAAACTAGCAATATAGATTATTTTGACATTAAAAGCGCCGGAACGACTAGCAATAGGTCTAAAATTTAGCAGCAGAACAATTGAAAACATTGACTTTAGTAAGTTAGCATGAGTTGCGATATGAGTAAACTAGCAGATAACCGTTTACTCCTGGTTGTCACACGATTCTACCAGTTTTTAATGTATTCCAGGAAAGCAGAGCCAACATCACCTGTGAGTAAGTGATGACGCATGAAATACACAAGGCACTGCAGACGTACATGACAAAATTCAGTTAATTTCCTAGAAGTATGCATAACAAATTATCTCAGTATATAGTGTGCCTGAAGGGTAATGATTGTAACTTGGTAACCAGAGTGAGACGCCTCATTTCATGGTTGTTGGTGCCAATACCGGCTTGCGCAATCAGTGGCAACTCCTAAAGAAATGTGAAGTTCTATCCAAGCTTAAAATCAAATTTACTTTTCTTAGAAATCCCGCGGTGTTTTATGGTAAATGGTTAATTGACTGGAGTTTCCAAAGTACCCTCAGCCACTCACTTTCTGCTAATTTTGGGGTGATGGCTTTTGATTGTGCTCATTAGGACGTGATCCCCTTGCACTTGCATTGTGACTGTGTACCATACAGTAATTCAAAATGTTACCACAGTGAACTTCTGAAGTCGCAGACTAAATACTAATAGACAGCAGCTATTGAATCCTCTCCATCATGCACAATGAGGTCTCTTAATCCGGTTAATGGAAAATTAATTTACACTCCATTCCATATGACAAAGGTTTTCTCAGAACGAAATCAAGGCAGAAAACCGCCCCAGTTTGTTGTTGACTATGAAAATTCCTCTTATTCGTGCTCCTGTTATTGAGCACAAGCATATTTATAATACACTACACAATATTTTGCTACTGGTCATTTCACTCCATCAGTAGTATTACTGTGACACGAGCGCATAAAATGCTTTCATGGAGCCTATTCGACCGCTAACATTCAGCACACTTCAATAAACAATCAATTCGTCTTGCATTTGCTCCTGTATACGGTCAAAGTTTGCAGTTTTCACGCACTTTCTGGGGACGTCCAATGTTTTATTTCATCAAGAAACGCACTGATTGAAGTTGCTGACTGAATGACAGACACCAATTGATCATGTGATGTTCACTTTCCTTAAGATTACTTAGGCGTCTCAAAAGTTCTTCTTACTTTTCGTATATTTGTATTGAGAATGCAAGCAAGAAAACATGAGAAGCGGAAGCACAAATAGTTCCTTATCTGTACGATAGTTAGTAGCAAAGGATAAACCAGTTCGCAATGGATAAACATAACTATACTTATGAGCACTTTAGTGTGATTGGATCATACGTTGTATCTTAAGGATGCCCCGGCTGAAAACAACTTAACAATATTTGGAACGGATCGAGAATTCGTAAATTTGCGAATGTCTTGTAAACAACCAGTTAGTCTAGTCAGTGAGCAATGTTTCACTTTTGTGACAGACGCTGCCTCCATTCAAGGGAACTAGAGAATGTACGGTGTAGTATGTATGGCAAACTAAAATGATAAATGCCATGACTACAATGCAGCTAGGTAGGCACTCACGTTGTCGGAGTGTCACCCAAAGTGGTGAAAGTGCTGCCCCAACTCTTGATGTCTCGCCGTTGCCCCATCCACCGAGAGCTGGGGAATAAAACGGACTCTGCTTACGCGAAGTACCTCTTTATATATACATGTACGCTATGGGATGCACACGTGGCAGGTTTACCAATATGATTCTACGTCAATTCTTGACTAAGAAAGGACAGGTTAATGCAGGGCAAGTAGAGCAACTTAAGTTTATGCATACTGGGGGAGTTGGCCAGGTTTGAGTTAGCAGTTTGGTTATTGAGAAGAGTTGAGAAACCATGGTAAAAAAAAGGGTTTACACGCCCACAACAATGCTACCTATCTAACCCATAAATGACCGAAAGTGGCTGTCAACAAATCTTCACACTGCACACGGTCAGACACTTATGACCATTTTACGACTGAGCAATAACAGTCAAGCTGATGAAGTACTCGTAGTTGGTGGGATAAGTTGGAAGGATTTGAATGTATTACTAATGAGTAGTGGGAATGTTGGTATACTTCAGATAATTCATTACGTTCACTCTCAGTCAGCAGTCCTAGGCTAGTCTGGAAAAGCACCAGACACCGTTGTTTCGACATACTGGGTCTCGGCAATAGTGTGCCTTCCAGCGGACCCATGCAAGCTTCCACCCCAGGACTTCCGGATGCGAGACGAGCCAAAGCCTGCTGACAGAGTGAACCGTAATGAATTTCCTTTGAAGTATATAAAAATCTCCATTGTTCTTGATAATGAAACTGGAATTTTCCAGTTACTGAAATCGTCCAAGCCGCCCTCAGTTGTGAAGGATCTTAATCAATTCCTTAAGTTCTCCACTAGGCTTGCCGAAGCTAAAACTTGTGTACAATTCTTCGATGGTTGCATTGAACGCAATGAATATCCTAGCAGATTCTGGAAGCAATTACGCCGCAGTCATATCTACCCGAATGCTAAAACGCTTAGACGGCACACTTTGAACCAGCGTGACACGATGCAATCCAAGATTCCCGAATTCGAGCGCAATATAGCGCAACGTCAACATGTGATTGACGAGTAAGCGTTGGACGTGAAACAATCATTCCTGGATTACGTTCAGTCTATCACCGCAAACCGTGTACGGCAAAGGCGTTTGGCCCTAACAAAGACGTTGAATCAGCATAAGCCGCAGTCTACTTTCCCTAATAGACCTGAGAGGTACGTGCACAATTTTTCAATTATTAAATTGAACTCCACTTTAATGGAAGTTCTATCACTTGGTCCAAAGTTTTGCGCCTCCAAACACAAAGATAATCAGCTTCACTATGAGTTACAGTTTGAAAGCCTGTTTGACCAAACAAAAGGGCTAGTAGCTAACTCAAATGAAGACCTGGAACGCTTTAAGTGCTCTTTAGTGAACACTTGCTACCAGTATCGCAAGTGCCATGTCCAAACTCACGGTCCCGTGACACGCAAGCACCTTGACGCGCTGAAGTATTTACAACGCAATGGTAAGATCATTCTGAGCAAACCGGACAAGGGTAGCGGAGTCGTTCTATTAGACAAAGAAGACTATATAAACAAGCTCGAAAAGGTTCTGAGTGATGAATCGAAATTTTCCCGAATGATTGGAGAAAAGGACCAGACAGAGAGGATTGAAAACCAGATTATTAAAAACTTGCAAGATCTTCGGAGTAATGAACATATATCAAACACACTTTGTGATAGCCTGAAGCCTAGTGGCACGAATGTCCCGAGGCTTTATGGGTTACCAAAAATTCATAAGACAGGTGTCCCGCTTCGCCCGATCTTATCAATGGTTAACGCACCCTACCATGCCGTCGCCCAATGGCTTGTGGAAATTCTAGAGCCAGTAAGACAGCGACTTACACACTACAGCCTTCGTGACACCTTTCATTTCATCGAAAGCATCAAAGATCGCAACATCGATAAGAAAGTAATGTTTTCCTTGGATGTTGTATCGCTTTTCACCAACGTGCCACTTTTCGAGACGATCGATTACCTTTGCTCCTACATAGAAGAAACAAAAGCAAGTATATGCATACCGTTGCGTGACTTGAAAAGCCTTCTTTTGCGTTGCACTTGGAACGTACAGTTCCTATTCAATGGCACTTACTACCGACAAAAGGATGGTGTAG